GTCTAGATTTTCACGTTTATACAAACCTTGTAAGTGTCTGCAACATGTTGCCGAGTATCAATGATGTTCCGTTAGTAATTAAATAGTTATAGGACAAATTTACCATGAACAGATCACTGTTTACAAAGCAGTCAAATATCACGACGTTCTAAATGAATTGCATGGTAAAATGTATGCCAGTAATTAGTGTATTCATTCAACTATTCACATGCAAAATTTCATGTCAATAAATTCAGTAATTAAAGAAAAACAATTATAATACTGACGAAGCATCGAAAACCTACATAACCCGACCAAGTACGGATGGCTACAAAAAAGCGGCTGTTCAATATATTTAGGTAACATCCCAAAATTTACAGTATAATACCGGTATTGAATTGGTACAGGTGATAACACACTTGTTGTTTCGAAATAATTTATAAGTAGGTCATTTATTTTTGGACACCTACTTTTTTAAATGTATTTGACTATGACAGAAAGTAGATACTATTTACGTAGGTACTTTATTTAAGTATGCGCTTGAGACTTGAGATTCTAATTATATTTAAGACAAATAAAATTCATACAGCTAATTTCTATTGAAGATTTCACGGATCAGGATTCTAAATTTCTAACTATAGACCCCTTAGGGAAATTAAATATTTACCACATGTAAGTACTTAAGTACTACTGTTTAGGTAAATATTTATCATATTGTAGCTTATTACACTATTTACCCTATATTTTTTATTACACTATTTAACCAATAGAGGCATGCACGAGCGTGTGTACGATACTGTGTTTTATTTTTTCCTAACGCTTGTGTACGATACTGTACCATATTAATAAATGCTATATTGGAAAGTTAAGAACGTTTCTTAGATATATGGCACGGCCGCTTTTTTGTAGCCATCCGAACTTGGTCGGGTTATGTAGGTTTTCGATGCTTCGTCAGTATTATAATTGTTTTTCTTTAATTACTGAATTTATTGACATGAAATTTTGCATGTGAATAGTTGAATGAATACACTAATTACTGGCATACATTTTACCATGCAATTCATTTAGAACGTCGTGATATTTGACTGCTTTGTAAACAGTGATCTGTTCATGGTAAATTTGTCCTATAACTATTTAATTACTAACGGAACATCATTGATACTCGGCAACATGTTGCAGACACTTACAAGGTTTGTATAAACGTGAAAATCTAGACCCTAAAGTGCATACTTTAAGAACTACGACCTAATAAGCGTATTTTACGTTTATATTTTTATCTTTTAAACCCTTCGATTTTTTCTAAATCTGTTTTTTAAACAAATATACACAAATTCAAAACAACGTATGTAAAAATCTACAGCTGTCTTTGTAAGCGCTTTATATGAAAACTAGCTAATGGCCAAACGTTCGCGTAGCGGAAACTTGAATTTCTCCGAAGTTTATGCATGCACTAGTTTTATTCATACATACACAATTACACACAAATACACACTAATTTTTGGATACATCTCTTTTCTTCTAAAGTCTATGGATTAAAAAAAGTTCCGCCAGGACAACGTTCGCCCAGCGGAATCAGTTTTTGGTGAATTTCTCCACAATGGTTGCGTGCACAATTTTTTTTTTTACCATACACAATTATACGACGTCATACACTAAATATCTGCATATTTAAAATCTTTAAATTCAACAACATTCCGCTGGACGAACGCACGCGCTTTTTCCTACTAGATGGCGCTCATTTAAAAGGATGTAAGTATGTCAAATAGTTGTCCCTATTAAAAATTTAATGTCTTGGCACACCAGCTTACTCTTTATTAGACGGACTGACTAGAGGTCCACACAGACGCCACTTCCGAACAAATACGGCAGACTCTGTTATTTGTTTTTTTTTTATTATGGTTTGGACGGATTGCCTGATGAAACAATGAAACAATGAATTTATTTTTGCAAATAGGCCATAAACGGCACTTTTACACGTCAATTTATATGTGAAAAACTAGATGAAGCCGGCATTTCCTATCTGACTACTCTGAGAAGAAATGCCGAAACAAACTCAAAGGTCAGTCTCTTTTCAAGTCCAGACAATGTAAAAATAACATAATGTGAGAGAACCGTGCAAGTTCATTCTGTAGTGGTCTTTTGATGAAAGAACCACACCAGTTTAAGTGGACCCGTTCTGAAGACAGGCACGCAAGTGTCAGTTTGCAACCAGTATAGCTAGTGCTGCTGAGTAGTCCGACGAACAATACCGATCTAAAGAACATTTGGGTGATGGTTAGCAATCAGCGCCACCCAAGGACACTCACAATATGAATGGAGCTAATTAATACGTTTTAGTATATTTAAATCGCTGCATAAGCTGTAAAGGCATGTTGTTTCGACACGTGCACAAGGGAGTAGGTAAGGGATAACCATCATTTTAATTTTGTTTATAATTTTATTATTAAAGAGATAAATCACGCATTGTACAACAATTTAGTTAGTCCAGTTCATTTCAGTTTTAGTATCATATCAGTCTTAGCGTGCGTTCGTGCAGCGGAATGTTGTTGAATTTAAAGATTTTAATTATGCAGAAATTTAGTGTGTGACGTCGTATAATTGTGTATGGTAAAAAAATAAAATTGTGCACGCAACCATTGTGGAGAAATTCACCAAAAACTGATTCCGCTGGGCGAACGTTGTCCTGGCGGAACTTTTTTAAATCCATAGACTTTAGAAGAAAAGAGATGTATCCAAAAATTAGTGTGTATTTGTGTGTAATTGTGTATGTATGAATAAAACTAGTACATGCATAAACTTCGGAGAAATTCAAGTTTCCGCTACGCGAACGTTTGGCCATTAGCTAGTTTTCATATAAAGCGCTTACATAGAGAGCTGTAGATTTTTACATACGTTGTTTTGAATTTGTTTATATTTGTTTAAAAAACAGATTTAGAAAAAATCGTCGGGTTTAAAAGATAAAAATATAAACGTAAAATACGCTTATTAGGTCTTAGTTCTTAAAGTATGCACTTTGGGGTCTAGATTTTCACGTTTATACAAACCTTGTAAGTGTCTGCAACATGTTGCCAAGTATCAATGATGTTCCGTTAGTAATTAAATAGTTATAGGACAAATTTACCATGAATAGATCACTGTATACAAAGCAGTCAAATAACACGACTTTCTAAATGGATTGCATGGTAAAATGTATGCCAATAATTAGTGTATTCATTCAACTATTCACATGCAAAATTTCATGTCATTAAATTCAGTAATTAAAGAAAAACAATTATAATACTGACGAAGCATCGAAAACCTACATAACCCGACCAAGTTCGGATGGCTACAAAAAAGCGGCCGTGCCATATATGTAAGAAACGTTCTTAACTTTCCAATATAGCATTTATTAATAATATGGTACAGTATCGTACACAAGCGTTAGGAAAAAATAAAACACAGTATCGTACACACGCTCGTGCATGCCTCTATTGGTTAAATAGTGTAATAAAAAATATAGGGTAAATAGTGTAATAAGCTACAATATGATAAATATTTACCTAAACAGTAGTACTTAAGTACTTACATGTGGTAAATATTTAATTTCCCTAAGGGGTCTATAGTTAGAAATTTAGAATCCTGATCCGTGAAATCTTCAATAGAAATTAGCTGTATGAATTTTATTTGTCTTAAATATAATTAGAATCTCAAGTCTCAAGCGCATACTTAAATAAAGTACCTACGTAAATAGTACCCTACTTTCTGTCATAGTCAAATACATTTAAAAAAGTAGGTGTCCAAAAATAAATGACCTATAAATTATTTCGAAACAACAAGTGTGTTATCACCTGTACCAATTCAATACCGGTATTATACTGTAAATTTTGGGATGTTACCTAAATATATTGAACAGCCGCTTTTTTGTAGCCATCCGAACTTGGTCGGGTTATGTAGGTTTTCGATACTTCGTCAGTATTATAATTGTTTTTCTTTAATTACTGAATTTAATGACATGAAATTTTGCATGTGAATAGTTGAATGAATACACTAATTATTGGCATACATTTTACCATGCAATTCATTTAGAACGTCGTGATATTTGACTGCTTTGTAAACAGTGATCTATTCATGGTAAATTTGTCCTATAACCATTTAATTACTAACGGAACATTATTGATACTTGGCAACATGTTGCAGACACTTACAAGGTTTGTATAAACGTGAAAATCTAGACCCTAAAGTGCATACTTTAAGAACTAAGACCTAATAAGCGTATTTTACGTTTATATTTTTATCTTTTAAACCCGACGATTTTTTCTAAATCTGTTTTTTAAACAAATATAAACAAATTCAAAACAACGTATGTAAAAATCTACAGCTCTCTATGTAAGCGCTTTATATGAAAACTAGCTAATGGCCAAACGTTCGCGTAGCGGAAACTTGAATTTCTCCGAAGTTTATGCATGCACTAGTTTTATTCATACATACACAATTACACACAAATTTTTGGATACATCTCTTTTCTTCTAAAGTCTATGGATTAAAAAAAGTTCCGCCAGGACAACGTTCGCCCAGCGGAATCAGTTTTTGGTGAATTTCTCCATAATGGTCGCGTGCACAAATTTTTTTTTACCATACACAATTATACGACGTCATACACTAAATATCTGCATAATTAAAATCTTTAAATTCAACAACATTCCGCTGCACGAACGCACGCCCCGCATTGAGCAAACGTGGTGATTAATGCTCTAACCTTCTCCGTGTGAGAAGAAGCCTTTGCTCAGCAGTGGGCACTTAGACTGATGATAATGAACCAGACGCATAATCTCTAACGCTTAGATAGTTAGCTTCAGAGCCAGGTAGCGAAGGATGGCTAAATTTTTTGATCACTAGATGGCGCTAATCTAAAAAGACGTAAGTAAGAGTTGCCGCTATAAAAAATTAAACAACAGTTTCAATCCGCCTTTGGGTGTAACACTAATAAAATAAAACTACATCATCATCTTCCTGCCCTTGTCCCGTTTTATTTGGGGTCGGCGCAATATGTTTTTTTCTTCCATTCTGTCCTGTCACTCGTCACGCTATCGCTAACTCCTCTGTCTTCCATATCACTTCTCACACAATCCATCCACATTTATATATTAAATAAAACTACATAAGTTTGATTATTATTTACTATAATTGTTTATCAATTTATATATAAGACTTACAATTAATTCTACACAACGTGTCCCGAAACGAAAATGTGACAGAGTGACCATATGAAAAAATACTGAACAATTATGGGACTTATCGTTGCTGCAAAAAGGCTAGGGTGACAAGATTTAAAATGAAAATATTCCCACCAAAATGTAAAAATAGACAAATTGTATTTTAGTTTGTTTTTTAATTGCGTCTGATGGCCGACTGATGTACAATTTTGACGAGAATAAATTCAATCCCAAGTTTTTTTTTTTCATTATAGGTACGTCAATTATTCATTTTTATTAATACTTACTAAAAATAAAACGTAAAACCACTTATACCTACTTCTATACTTATACTAACTTACAAGGCATCCACGGTCGCCTTCCCATCAAACAAAAACCGTGAACGCCAAAAAAATAAAACAAAAAAATATTTCGAAAAAAACTACTATCCACAAGTCATTTTATTCAATTAAAAAAAGTTGTTAAAAATCAAAAACTTTAATGACTTGCAAACATAAAGTAACAGTAATGAAATCCGAAATATTTTTAAAATAATGTTTCATTTAATTATTAAAATTGTATTTTTTTTTTATTTTTTATTTTTTATTAATTTTTTTTTGCTCTACCCCGGAGCGGGCGACAATACACGACGACAATACATAACATTAAGTTTTAGAGTAATCATATTAATAATAATATATAGGTATATTAAGAATAATAATAATAATTGTTAAAGAAACGACTTAATATTTAAAATAATGAAACTCCTACAATAGTCAGTTTTTATGGAAAATAAAACAAAGTTAGCGTACACTTCAAAGCTGAAATAATAGAAATTTATTAATTCGAATTCCTTTTATTTATTTATTTTTACGAAAGCTAGTTTTTAAGTTAGCAAAATAGTCTAGAGGCAATGAAATTCTAGTTCATTGAGCGAGCGAACTACTCAAATTACACTCAAAATGAGTTGCAACTCGGAATTTCCGAGTAATAGAAGAGTTTGAAAAGAAAAGAAATTCGTATTAACACGTCATATAATAATACCCTACGTATCTAATACTACAGACTTGTTGTTGCCATAATATAAGCAAGCCCAGGTGAATATTCATTAACATTTTAAAGAACGTGCGATTTTCAAAATACTGTTTCTAGATAACGAAGCTACGTACACGAAAAACTCGAAAATTCCGAGTCCACGAAAGTCGGAAAACGAGACGTCGGTTAAGAGTCATCTAGATTTATTAGAACCTTAAACTCAAAATCCGAATTCTTACTCGAAATTTTCGAGTTGGTTTATTGAGAATAAGTGAGTTTTTCCGACTTAACGCGACTCGAAAGTTTTGAGTGTTACTGCATGTTGTAGTGCAGGAATATGTACTCCGGGTTGGTGATTTCTTGCGGCATTAAGGGGGAGTTTGGTGGAAGTAGTTGGAATCCCATAAACATGAAGGTGCGGAGAATCGTGGCGCGGTCCGGTCGGCTCTTCAGGACGCAGATGATGCAGCTGGAATAGATTAAGGTCAATATGAAATATCGTAATCCAAACTATCATTATAATGTTTTGTTGAACTTTTAGTCTCCGTTAGTATTGATATATGAATTATTTTTGTCTTAGATTATTTAGGAGGTGAAGGATTAGGCCTCAGGTAGGTAACTTAATTCACACGGCAAAACTCGGTGATTTCATATAAAAATGAGATTAATATATCTACAATGTATATATAAATCCATGCCACTTTTCGTCGTTGTTGTGTTATATTCAGCAATGCCTTAACCGAATGGCTAATTTTTATCTTGAAATAGTCAGAAAACTTAAGTTAATTTTGAGGCGGAATGTTGCAAGGTCAGCTAGTAAACAATATAATAATTACTTTAAATACTTACTTGTTACAACCCAACCTTTCTTCAGCAAAGTCAAGCAGCAGCATAAAGCTTTCCTTACTGCCCGATTGGAGGACGCCAGGCATGCGCAGATAGATAGTGCCGCCTTGTACCACCTGAAAGTTAAGCAAAAAAGGACCTTTAAGTGTGGGAGAGCCATGCTTCGGCACGTATGGGTCGGCTCGACCGGAGTGATACCACGGGCTCACAGAAAACCTTCGTAAAACAACCACAGCGTTGTGTTTCGCCGTGGGAGTGAGGTTACCGGAGGCCTAATCCTTCCCCTCCCCCAATCCCTCGTCAATCCCTGAATTTCCAAATCCTTAATCCTAAAAGTTCGGCAACGCACTTGTAACTCCATCGTTGTGCGTGTCCATGGGCGGGGCTGATTGCTTACCACCAGGTAATCCGTCTGCTAGTTTGGCGACCTATTACATATTTTAGGCGGCTATCCCACGGACGTTAATGCTTGCCACGCGACGATGCAGCGTTAACTTCGCGTCAGCGAGGCGTCGACACTAACCTCGTCAAAAAATAAAAAGATTTCCCACCACATCCCCTTGCCCGAGCGTAAAGCGCTTAGCGTTCCGCGCGCGTCTCAAAAAGCCAATAGACCACCACAGACGGGGCCCTATAGGACTGATGTTCAGCTAGGGTTGCGGGGTAAGCGCAATGAGGCACCGCGACCTCGGCCCAGAGCAGGAGAAGGAACAAGGGGGGTTTTAGTCAGTAAGAGTCTGACACTCCCTCCCGCCCGGCCCTGGGAGGGAGAAGTAACTAGATGATTTTGCCTTCACAAAAAAAAACCCCTTCTCAATCATTCGTATCACGTCAAACTGGTACTTGCCGGGTACCGTAAAGTACTTAATACAATGACAATCAGAATTAAAAATTAACCCTTATTTTATGGCAAAATAACGTTTGCTGGGTCAGCTAGTTTAAAAAATATTTTTACTTACCGCCTCCCAACGGGTAACGGTGTTCTCAGTGAGGAAGATCTTAAAGTCGATTTTCACCGGCTGCCTGTCCTTGCGTTCCAAGATCTTGCTTATAACCTGCAATTTTACAAGAAGTAATTTGAATAATCTTATTAAGGACTTTAAAAAATGTGTAAGAGTGAGTATATGAGTACTTGTGAGTAAGTGAGTGAGTGAGTGAGTGAGGGCGTAAGTCATTGAGTGCGTGAGTGAGTGAGTCAAAAAGTGAATGAATGAATGAACGTATTTTTTTTATGTAATCCAAGCTAAACACTTCTCTGCATTTCCGATGAAGTATTAAATGAGTGTAACTGTGTGAGTAAATGAGTGAATATTATTATTAGTGCTGTTCACGTTAAGTGTGTTGTTGTGTAAGTGTGTACATGTTAAGTGAATGAGTGTGTAAGTGACTTTTTGTTTGACTTTTTCTCTACGCTTATATTGGAGTACTTGAAACGCGTTGAGTATAGTACGGTCGACGTATCTCGGCGAGTCTGAAGTTAGCCGTTTGTCTGCGCAATGGATCTTTTAGGAACAAAATTGTGTACTGCGTAGCTAAACGGTTAACTACAGACTCGCCAAGATACGTTGGCGTTATTATAAAAGTCAACAAATGAGAAAATGAGTGTGCCTATTTGCTGCAACTGATTTTGTTGACTCACCGCTTCTCTGCGTTGCTGATGGAGAGCTGGGTGAGCGTGAGTGGGAGACTGGGACTCGGTGATGAGACTCTCCGCGCTGGACGCGAGGGAACTCGCGCTTGCCCATAGTAGGGCGCTCAACAAGTCACCTGCAATTAATGATTTTTTTATGTTATAGGTCAGCAAACTAGCCTACAGATTACCTGATGGTAAGCAATCAGCGCCGCCCATGGACACCCGCAACACCAAAGGAGTTACGAGTGCGTTGCCGGTATTCCTTAATCCTTAAACATCCATAACCCATATCTCTAAAAGGATGGTGGTAGTGATGTATTTGGCCTCCAGTAACTTCACTCAATCGGACAAACACAACGCTGTAGTTGTTTCACGCCGGTTTTCTGTGAGGCCGTGGTATCACTCCGGTCGAGCTGACCCATTCATGCCATAGCTTGGCACTCCTACACTTTATGATTTTATGGTCCATAAGTTATTAAGGGTTGAATAAGGTTAATGTTATTTGGAACTAGATTCTCAATGCGCCACATTTTTTTATGTGTCTTGTCGGCAAACGAGCCGACGTATTATCTAATGGTACAAGCAAACAGCGCCGTCTATAGACAGCCGCAACGATTAAAGTTACGAGGGTGTTAAAGACCTTTTGGGAAGGGTTTTAGGGTTTGAGAGACTTAAGGATAAGGGAGGGGAATGATTAAGAAGCACAACGCTATGGTCCTTCCACGCCGGTGTGGTTGTTCCAACACGGTAGTCGTTAACTAGTCGAATTTAATACTTGTATTGAAATTAAAAAAAAACTATACTCTTTTATAATTATTTATGAGACGCAACTCACAGCGAAATGGGACTAAGAGGACTGACCGACAGACTGACACCATATCTTCAAAATTGTGTTTCGACGTTCAAAAGTGCCTGTAAGGGTCTGATTGGAATAAATGATTTTTGTCATTTTTTTTACTTTTTTGACAGCAAAACCTAAATATGTAGTGTCCATCGACATGAGAGGGAATATCAAAGGTGTACTTACGGTTGTTGTCGTCGTGGGTGGGTGTAGATGGGGTAGCGGGGCTCGCGGCCCCGCCATTCACCCCTCCGGGCGGTGCCGAGCCGTGAGCCGGAACATCAGGACCACCTGGAAATAAAACATCATCATCAGCGTCATTTATTTGTTCTAAATGTGCGAAAGACGAATGAGTCAGCTCGACCGGAGTGATACCACGGCGTCACAGAAAACCTGCGTGAAACAACCGCGGCTTTGTGTTACGCCGTGTGAGTTACTGGGTTCTCAATCCTTACCCTCCCCCTAAACCCTCCTCAGTATCTCCGAAACCCTAATACCCAATGGCCGGCAACGCACTCAAAACTCGTCTAGTATTGAGGGTGCCCATGGGCGGCACCGTTTGCTTTCTACCAGGTAATACGTTTGCTCGTTTGCCGACCAACCACCGAGGTAGAGTTCATGAGGGCTGATGTCCAGCCGAGGTTGTGGGTGAAAGGGCAATAATGTATCGATTTTTTATTTGAAATGAGTTTTTGTAAATCTCACTTATAAAGGCTACCAAGGATGGGCTAAAATAAGGCTGATATTAAGCCGAGGTCACGCCTGGACCGGGAGAAGGAACTGGATGGTCTTTTGTCTTTAAGAGCCTGGCACTCGTGCCCCCGGGAGAAGACATTTTTTTATGTGATAGGTCGGCAAACGATCAGGTGGATTATCTAATGGTCAAGCAATCAGGTCACATGGTCGGCAGACCATGGACACTCGCAACAGCAAAGGAGTTACGAGTGCGTTGCCGACCTTTTTGGGATTAGGGACTTGGAAAATTAGGGGGGAGCGGAAGAATTGGGCGTCCGGTAAACTCACTCGGTGAAACAAAACGGTCATTTAGCAATTTTCGCCATTAAAAATAAATAGTAAGTATCTTTATACTGGACTAGCAATCCGCCCAGGCTTCGCACGTGTGAATTGCTGATACTAAATTTCTAAACTATTAAATGGATGTTATTATACATAAATCTTTCTCTTCAACCACCATCTATTAAAAAGAAACCGTAACAAAATCAGTTGCGCAGTTTTAAAGATTTAAGCATACATAGGGATATAGGGACAGAAGAAGCAACTTTGTTTTATACTATTTTCGTAGCTGTACGTACGTATCAGTCTCTGATCATGCATACTATTGCACTTTAGACCCTGGACGATAAAGGTTCATATGCTGTTGACCCTATCTTGTAACACAGTAATAAAATCGTAATACGTAATAATGTTAGATTATGGGCATGTGTCACATCGTCATTATAATTGGCTGTTAATCCATTTCGTAATTAGATTACATATAAAATTCTCGTGTCACAGTTTTCGTTGCCATACTCCTCCGAAACGGCTTGACCGATTTTGATGAAATTTTTTGTGCTTATCCGGTATCTATGAGAATCGGCCAACATCTATTTTTCATCACCCTAAATGTTAGGGGTACTCCATCATATTTTTTTTTACAAAATTTTTCACATTCCATTTCAGGATTACACAAAAAGTCCGTGCGAGAATCGAAATCGAATCCCGCGACCACGTTGCATGGCAGCCGTTTGGCCAGCCACCCCGTCAACCGTGAACCGTGCAGTCAAATTGTAAATATCTCACGTGGAAAGGCCATGCTGTACCATTCGCTGGCCTCAATAAAGGTCCTCTGATAAAGCGGGTGACCTTGGGCAGCGCTGATTGCTTACCATCAGAAGATTCTTAGAGCTTATTTGCTTAGCTATTCCATAAAAAGGTTGATTACACTTACCACAGAGGCCCGGCACCCAGGCACAGCGAAAAACACTCGGCGTCGGAAGCCGACAAAGCCGAGCGCTTGCTGCCGGCCGCGCTCAAAGACGCGCTGTCGCCGCTGAAACAAACAAACAGACACATTATAGCCAAGACCATCGTTACCAATGAAATGTACCTATTTATTCATTACTAGCTACTCTCGCGCGGTTTCACCCGCTCGATGTTTTATAGCCTATAGCACTGAGGAACAATGTAGCTATGTATCAGTGAAAGGTTTTGGCAATCTGACCAGCGGTTCCAAAGATTACCCCCTACATGCTAACTTACAAACATACAAACTTACAAATTTTACCTCTTTATAATATTAGTATAGATTATTACAAACTAAGCTATCTTTACAATTACCCAAGTTTAGCTTAATGACACACAAGCACAATAAAAATATATCGTGGAATTCTGTTCATAAATATGAGTCCCTAGCGTGGCTTGAAACTAGACGAGTTAACTCGACAATTTCGTGAGTAAGCCGTTACACATGTCTGTCTGTCTCAAGAGATACAAAGTCGTCAAAAAGACCAGTAACCAGTAAGGACGCTTTTGAACGTCAAAAATTATCATTAAGTTTTGTCGTCTGTCCTCCAGTGAAGCTATTTGCTCGTTCCAAAGTGTAGATTCCCATGGAGAAGAACGAGTAAGAAACTTCATAGTTAATCTTTTTCAATCAGTTTCACAATTCATTTTCATTTTCACATTCTTTGTTACATCATTAAGGGCTGATTTTTCAATGGTAAGATAAAAGTTACCTGGGGAATAATTATGATGCTGTCGCGTTAGAAAGTTTGTATAAGACAGTGACAGCAACAATTTTATTCTTCAGAAAACATTGAAAAATCAGGTCTTAGTCGATTCAATTATGTGAGAACTGCGTTACACTAATATTAAAAGAAAAAGAAAATGTTCGTACCGTCCAAGATTTTTGCTTAAACACAAAATATCACTTTGTAAATAATCACTGAGATGCGTCAAATCTCCTGATTTCTTTTCAAAGTATATGTAATACGGCATTTTAGTTAATAAGTCAGTTTCCTTCAAGCGTTTCTTCAAGATTGTTCTTCGTACATCGCCTGTATTCTGAGATGTTACGATATCTTTATTGTTAAGAATTATTTCTAATACCTTTATTTGTTTGTAAAATAAATGGTACATATTGTAAAAGTTATCTGTCTGTTTGTGTATTTATTATCCTAGTACAGTGCGGCCGACGTATCTTGGCGAGTCTGAAGTTAGCCGATTAGCTGCGCAGTACACAATTTTGTTCCTAAAAGATCCATTGCGCAGACAAACGGCTAACTTCAGACTTCCAGTTCACAGCGATTTGATCATCAAAACCTCCAATGTAATGTGGCATTTACAAGTTTTCATTTTTTTTTTTTAAACAAATGGAGCTCTCTTTGTTATTCATCAAGGTTTTATTGTAGTTACGTGTTTGTCTGTACATATCTGTTTATCTTATTGATAAGATATGAAGACAATCTTGAAGGTACCAAGTTTTGAACACATCTGAGATATAAATGAGAATTTGAGTAGATCTACTTGGGAACATTAGCTCATGACGACACCTAAGTAGGTACGTGTGTCGCCTGGACAGTCTACGCTACCATCAGTTGACTGGACAATCTCTGCACTTCATGAACTGCTGTTTACATGTGAACATTAGCTCATGACGATACCTAAGTGCGTGTGTCGCCTGGACAGTCTACGAAACATCCTTGTTGACTGGACAATCTCTGCACTACATGAGCTGCTGTTTACATGTGAACATTAGCTCATGACGATACCTAAGTACGTGTGTCGCCTGGATAGTCTACGCTACATCCTTGTTGACTGGACAATCTCTGCACTACATGACCTGCTGTTTACATGTGAACATTAGTTCATGACGATACCTAAGTACGTGTGTCGCCTGGACAGTCTACGCTACATCCTTGTTGACTGGACAATCTCTGCACTACATGAGCTGCTGTTTACATGTGAACATTAGCTCATGACGATACCTAAGTACGTGTGTCGCCTGGACAGTCTACGCTACATCCTTGTTGACTGGACAATCTCTGCACTACATGAGCTGCTGTTTACATGTGAACATTAGCTCATGACGATACCTAAGTACGTGTGTCGCCTGGATAGTCTACGCTACATCCTTGTTGACTGGACAATCTCTGCACTACATGACCTGCTGTTTACATGTGAACATTAGTTCATGACGATACGTAAGTACGTGTGTCGCCTGGACAGTCTACGCTACATCCTTGTTGACTGGACAATCTCTGCACTACATGACCTGCTGTTTACATGTGAACATTAGCTCATGACGATACCTAAGTACGTGTGTCGCCTGGACAGTCTACGCTACATCCTTGTTGACTGGACAATCTCTGCACTACATGAGCTGCTGTTTACATGTGAACATTAGCTCATGACGATACCTAAGTACGTGTGTCGCCTGGACAGTCTACGCTACATCCTTGTTGACTGGACAATCTCTGCACTACATGAGTCCAAGTCACCTATTCCTCGGACATTAGCGGCTATTAACGCTCTCCTGAACTCAAACACTGATCTCGATGTGTTTGTGGATGACTGGAAGACGATACTGTCAGAGTGTTTGAAGTTTTGTGAGAGGAATGCGTGACTGAATTGAGTAAAGTGCATGTTTAATGGATTTATTATATTATTTGTTATATGTTTCTCTTGTGTGTTCTAATAGGTTAATGTGTTTTACAAATGTTTAAATAGTGTAATTGGCTTTTGTCGTTCTATTTAAATAAAATAAATAAATAAATAAATGAGCTGCTGTTTACATGTGAACATTAGCTCATGACGATACCTAAGTACTTGTGTCGCCTGGACAGTCTACGCTACATCCTTGCTGATGGTATAAGGTATGGTAGGTATAAATAAGGTGAATGTTTGTATGTATGTATGTTAATCAAAAACTGCTAAACAAATCTAAATGAAATTTGAACAGCGTTAGATTACATAATGTATCCTTATAATCCCAGAAAAGCGGGCGAAGGTATTCCGTCAAAATACGAAGCCATATATGCCCTGAATAAGTTTGTAGAAACTTAACCAAATATTGTAAATTCTGATAGAAATGGCTTCCCATTGTTCTAGCGTGTTTGTTAGACTATTTGAAGGTCAGCCTCCTTACATTAGAAGTCGCATGTTTATATTATCGAAGCTAACTAGAAAATAGGTGAGCGCCGAGCTATTTATGAGGAAAATTTCTCGTGATAAAATTTTAAAGGCCTTGGGATTTAATTAGAATGTTTCGTGGTATAGAATAATTTCGGGCGTAGCTTTAAGCTTTCTTAATTCTCGGAGACGGTGGATTAATAATATAAAATCTTGGAAACGGAAAATGACCAAGATTTTTTTTCAAAAGAGTAACGATGGAGTTTCTTGCCCGTTCTTCTCCATTCAAATCTACAATTTGGATTGAGCACCTAGCTTCACTGACGAACAGACTGACAGACTACTTTTCTATTTTGACGTTTCAAAAGTACTTATTTATTTTGGTTTAGTTGGAATAAATGATTTTGACTTTAACTTTGAATGAAGACTTTTCAAACAGCTAGCTGCCACCATAGTCAGTCACCATAGTAAACCATAAATAGGTACTTTTGAATCGTCAAAATAGAGAAGTAGTCAGTAGTCAGCCTAATGGCATGAAATATCCAAGTCACTATCCAACAGCAGTTAAAAATCGCTCGTTGTTTCGTGAAAAGTAATTCAAATAAACACTCTTGCGCATGCATAATATTATTAGTAAGTGAAGATTATTAACTTATAATACAGTAGGGTACAAGTAAAAACTATTATGGTTTTCGCAGTTCCATGTGTGCACCCATATTAATATAATCAAACTAATAGTGTAAATGCGGAAGTAACTCTGTCTGTCTGTCTTTTCTTTACGCCTAAACTATTGAACCGATTTCTGTGAAATTTGGTACAGGCATAGATTGGAACTCGAGAAAGGACATAGGATAATTTATACCAAAAATTTGCAGGAAGTGACTATTCCACTCGAACGGAGTCACGGCACAACTAATGGCACACTAGCTTACTCTTTATTAGACGAAGTGACTAGAGGTCCACAAAGACGCCACTTCTGAACAAATACGGCAGACCTCGTTATTTTTTTATGTCAGTTCGGACGGTGTACCTGATGGTAAGCAATTAGCGCCGCCAATGGACACTCGTAATATCCAAGGAGGTAATAATATATATATATCTAACAACTTACCGGTAAAGCTTGACCATTTTGAACAAAGTAAGAGTCTTTTAACACTTAAAAACGATAAACAATTTCTTAAAAAACTAACAACAACAAATACTTTTAAATTTAAATATCACAATAAAATGGAATGCTTCAAAAATATTAAATAAATAAAAAAAACAACAAAAAAAGTTAAGGTATCGTAAGGCGATTTTTTTCTGGCACTTTTCTGAAGAATATTTTTATGCTGTATCCCGTATACAGCATATTATTATTGTTTAATAAAATAGAATCTATTTTAATTTTTTTCAGAGACGTGCGTACCGTACGAAAGTTGTTTAGCAACTGACGAAATCTTTGTAAACAGTCGGCGGCCAAAAAGGGAGGGCTTGCCAATATTCAAAAATAGAATCAGTGTTGTGGATCTAAAAAAAGAACCAATAACTGCGCGTGAGTGGACTGACGTGATCACTTTCACGTTTTTTGTACACGAGATTAAAAAACTTAGGTAATTAATGTAATTTTAAGATTATACCATTAATATTATACAAATAGATAGAGAAGCATAGATTAGATTGTGTCGTTGGTCGACTATTAGCAAAAAGTTTTTATAACTTTTAACAGAAGTCAGTTAGATCAGAATCGTTTATAAAGATTTGTCGACTTTATAATAAGCCATATAATAAAACCAGTTTACGGTGGTCTCGCTTTGTATGATCTTTTCGCTCATTAAAGGTCCAGTTTACAGTTTGATGTGCATACTACTTCTATGACTGCTCCCACCTTGATTGGGCTAGAGGGAGTAGCAGACTCTTACTGAACAAAAACCAGATCGCTCCTTCTCGTGCTCCGAGCTGGACCGTGGTACCAGACCGTAATCAACAATTCCTAAAACACATAATCTGGGGGAGCCATGCTTCGGCACGAATGGGTCGGCTCGACCGGAGTGATACCACGGCCTCACAGAAAACCGGCTTGAAATAATTAAAGAGTTGTGTTTCGCCGTGTGAGTGAGGTTCCGGAGGCCCAATCCGTTCCCTTTCCCAAAATCTCCAAATCCCTAATGTCCAAAAGCTCGACAACGCACTCGGGCGACTCAGATTGCTTACCATCAGGTAATCCGTTTGCTCCTTTCCGTGTGAGAATGAAACCCGCGATACGGGTACGATGTTATTTTGTGTCTTGGTGTATCTTTGCAAAGTAAACGATTTGATTCGATTTGTTGCGGTGCAGTCGGTTGCCCAGCCATCGCGCCAGTGCAGCCAACATTATTTACTGTGTTTTAAGCTTAGTGAGCCTTATCTATAACGGCTTAGTCTTTCCCTAGAACCTAGATCTAATACCATGAGCACCTAAGTCTATCACCGCGTGGATCTGCTATTTTAATACACAGCAATTACTCAAGTCAACGTCATGAACTTTCATTAAGGACCGAAATAAGTTTGTAAACAGGTAAGCGCGTTGCCAAATGAAACCTTTCTTAATAGCATTAATCTTTCCTATTTCGTCAACTGTTGTTTTTGAAGCCAAAATTTTATATCAAACTCATTTAGTATTTTAAAACGAATATAAATGACAAACAGGTTAACAGAACGATAAAATAATTGAAATTCTTATAAACAAGTAAAATTTTTCGAAATTGGAGCAACCATTTTATTTTCGCAAAGCGTATTTTGCCTAGACAAGAAATGCGAACAGAATGCTTGCCAAACTATTCCTTTGTAGAATTTATGATATAAGGAATTTCGTTTTGGCTACAGTCCATAAACCATCCGCCGTAGAAAGCTGAAAAATATGCGCCGTATTTTCACCATAAGTTTTTTTCGCCAATTTTTTATTTATATAGACGAAAACTCGTTTCAATTTGGAATAATTTGAGTGAACTGTTACACAAGACAAGCAAAAAAACCATGGTCTTTTCCCTAAAGAGACCAAAAAGACTTGGTCTTCTCAAGGTCTTTTTATGTTAACTAAATGGAATTTCTTCATAGCGACAATGTTGCGTCTGAATCGAAGTCTTGGATGATAAAGAGCTTTGGCAGTATGACAAATCGGAACAGTGTGAAAACATTATCATAA